CAGCCCCAGTGAATACCTGCAGCCAGCTGCCTCCACTGCCCAGGTGAGTCCTGGGGCACCACCAGGCCCAGTGCTGGGGTGCAGGGACGTGTCCTGGGGTGCAGGGACGTGTTCTGGGGTGCAGGGGTGGCAAATGCTGCATCCTTCAGCCCCTCCTGCCCCCGTAGCTGGCGTTGCCTCCTCAGGAGGAGGGCCAGGCTGGGGAGCTGCACTCTGGGCTCATTCCCAGCCCTGACGCCAGCTCTCTGGGGTGTTGTTTCTCCTCCCTGTGCTGGGTTTCCCTCTCGGGTCACACTGATGGTTGATAGCACGAGGTGGTCTTGGAATTACATCCCCCAGTGTTGCTCCAGGGTGGGTGTAAGGGGTGTCAATACCAGCGGACGTGCCGGGTGTTTGCAGCTTTGCAGAGGCTCTAAGAGCCTGGGCACACAGCTAAAAGTCCTCACGGCTTAAAGCAGCATGATGAGGGCTAGCCAAAGCCCATGTGCTATGAGTAATTAAGCAGTTCCCCTAATGAGGGCTGTCTCATTAGCGTGGACTGGATTGCTTTCGATAGCGTCCACGCTTCCCTCGGTCAGGTCGGCGTCGGGGTGTCCAGCTCAGGCCCCTGTCTCTGACTCTCCCCTCTCCTTCCCTTGCTCCCCAGGACTCCCAACCCTCTCCCCTCGCCCTCCTCGCAGCCACATGTAGCAAAATTGGTCCCCCTGCCGTGGAAGCCGCCGTGACTCCTCCTGCCCCTCCTCAGCCCACGCCTCGCAAGCTCGTCCCCATCAAACCCGCTCCTCTCCCCCTGGGCGCCGGGAAGAACAGCTTGGGGATCCTGTCCTCGAAAGGGAACCTCTTCCAGATCCAGGGCTCTCAGGTGGGCACCTCCTACCCCGGGGGGCAGCTGTTTTTTGCCATCCAGAACCCCACGGTGATCAACAAGGGCACCCGCTCCTCCGCCAACATCCAGTACCAGGCGGTGCCCCAGCTCCAGACCGGGGGGGGACAGACCATCCAGGTCCAACCCAACCTCACCACCAACCAGATCCAGATTATTCCGGGCACGAATCAAGCCATCCTCACCCCTTCCTCTTCCTCTCACAAACCCGTGCCCATCAAACCAGCTCCGGTTCAGAAGGGTGGAGCTTCTCCAGCCCAAGCCACAGGCAACGTGGTCAAGCTGGCCGGGGGTGGCAACGTGACTCTCACACTGCCTGTCACAAACCTGGTG